ATGAACATGACCATTTGATTTTAAATTTATGTTTATCGCTTCTTGGTTCACTGTGTTCAAAAGCAAACGGAAGGGCAAGTTTCTTCGTCTAATTGTTTGCACGCCATTTTTTCCCGCGACAAATCTTCCATCCCGGAGCCGACGTCATGGTGACCAGCGGTTCATGGCTTTATGCATGCGCGATTGAACGAAAATTCTCCCGCCATTTTGCACCCGGGTTTTACGCCATTTCACTGGAAAAAAGTCAAAATTTCCACAGACACTTCACTGTAGTTTTTGTATGGTTTTCAAAAATTCCACAGTCTGTTTAAAAACCAAATGTGGTTATTTTGTGGTTTTTTGAGGTTAAGTTTCAAAGGATGCAAATATCCATACAAAATCCACATCAGGTTAATTAATCTCCATGTGATGTATGGAAACTAAAAAATCCAAAGAATAAAATGTCAATATCCTTGCATGGAAAATTGTGAAGTTCCATTTAATGGTTATCCAAAATTCCACAGTTGTCAAGGAAATTTAAATTTCCAAACTAAGTTACCTTGGATTTTAAAATTCCAATGGTGGAAATTGTTTGACATTACTAAGCATGGAAATTAATAAATCCACAGTTGTCATGGAAATTAAAATTTCCAAACTAAGTTAATTTGGATTTTAAATTTCCAATGGTGGAAATTGTTTGAAATGACTACTACGAGTTTCAGTTTCTTATAGTACATGTAAGTGAATTTTTTAAAGGCAGGAAAACAGAATTCCTCCCTGGCTTGCAGAAATTTAATTGTTCATTGAATTGTATTCTTTGTTGCAAAAATTTACTTCAGTTGACAATCGATCGCTTTGCACCATTATTTTTTGGAAAGATAATCGAATACTCAAACTATTCAGGACTTTGATAAGCATGTAAGATAATAAGATTTTCCCTGATCTTTTTTTTTTTTGTTATAATAGGAAATCCCTGATATTTTGCTGACCGTGGCAGCATAATAAATTTTGAGCGTCAGTTTACGTGAGTCATTCTTCGCTTTCTCTTAATTTCTTATTTATGATATAAATATTCTTTTCTAAATGACAAACTTTTCATAATAACATATTTAAGATTCAGATCAGCACTACAAGCTAGCAAAATGCGCACCCACCTGCACTACATTCAACCTCACGTCCAACGATTAATTCACGCTGACTTGATAACAAAAGATGCTGTTGCTGCGTCTTAGGGTTCACAGCTTTACCCTTGCAGTTTTCGCAAGGGCAGTGAACATGAACAGATACCCTTGCAGCACAATAGCAACGTGAAGAGGGAAAAAAGGATCCGAAACGTTTATCCGCCTTCTCCGCCATGTTTTCTTGCTAAACAGCTTTGCAACCTCTCCTCCAAACTTATGGTCAGCGGATACTGAAATTTCGACCAATGAGAAAGCTCCGCGTGAGTCGTGTCGTTTCCCGCCAGAAATGGGATCAAAACTGCACGTCAGACTAAATTTTGTGCTCTTTGCTCGGCTGCTGCACAAGTTTGTGTTTCTACGAGAAGATGGTCGATTCGGAAGAAGAAGTTGGAGTTCTGGACCAAGATTTCACGCCATTTACGCAGTCAAGTCCGAGCTATTCCGTTGAAAGTGAAACGGATCAAGAAGAACGGATCTGCAAGATTTTCAAGAAGTGGAATGCAAGGAAACTTCCAGACTCTGCCAAAGGAGGAACGGTTTCAAAGAAATCGAAGATTGAACCGTCAATTGAACCAGCATCATTGGGCGCCGAGGACTGCAAGGAAAATGTCGACGTCAAAGGTCAGTGCTTTAGTATTAAATCATTTACACGACCTTATAATTACAAACATTTAAAATGAAACCAAGTATCTTTCAAGTTGACTGATAAAGTGTAGGTCTTGTTGAAACCATCCACTGGAGAAAAAAATGGCGCGAATATTGTTTTCACGGTTTCAGACGCCATCTTGTTTCGGAAGGTTGCTTGATGCTAGATCATTTGAGGAAGGGAATTGTAAATTTAATTCTAGTATCAAGAAAGCCGACGAGTTGCTGTACGAAAATGTCTCGCTTCTTAGCTAATCTGTACAAGTTTGATCGGCAACATCTTTCGCTAGGCATCATTTCTTTCATTAGTGATCATAAAATTTTCAAAGTCAACCTTTTTTAACCCATTGACGTCTGGGGACTTAGCGCGCACCTACCCCCCTAAAAACCTGGCTTTTTTACGGCATTTAATTCAAACGCACGAGACAAAAAATAAACCATGTGCACAGTAAATTTTGACAAATAATTATTTCCTGAAGTTTTCTTTTATTACAAAAAGACATCCTGAAGGACAATTTTACGAATTAAAATACATGTCAGCCGTGACAAACTGTTCACAAAACAGACTTTAAAATATAACTAAAATTTTCATCTCCTCCGCGCGTCTTTTTCGAAACTCGAATAATACAAAAAAAAATTGTAAAAAGTCCCTAAAATATCTTAAAATACAGGACTAAAAGGTATGTTATCATTCTGTACAACTTACACAAACATAAATGTTATGACACTGTGGTGTTTTCCTTGTGCAGGAGAGCAGTAATTTGAGATGAAAAAAATTATTTATGAATAACGGCAGGGTCAACACAGGTGTGTTTTTTTTTTTGGCCGGCTCAGGTATTTGGGGGGTGGTTTTTGCGGGGCCGGTTTTGGCCGCGGGTTTTAAACCTACCAAGCATAGCTTAATTCAGATAAATAACCTTCGGTACAAACTCTGAAACTGAAACCAGTGTGTTTTTTGTTTGCATGCTCAAGATTGGAGTGTGGAAGATGTTCTGCAGTGGCTGGAAAGAAAAGGATTTAAAGAGGAATGTGAGCTTTTTAAAGGTTTGTACATTAAACCCTGTCAGTGCCAAGATTTTGAGGGGGGTGATCTGCAAGTGCCAAAGCGAATTATTTTCTATCACTTCACGCTACCCTGCAAACACACATGAAACAGATGTTGAATTCTACCTTTCCGTCTCCATCCTAGTCCTCCAAAACAAACATATTCGTGAGGAGTGATGGTTACTCTTGTTCCATAATCCAAAATAGACGAAGGAAAGTAAAATATTTACTGTCAGTTCGAGCATTTTTGCCACGCTTGCGATCCGTGGATGTTTGGAAGTCGCTTCGCAACGCGGTACGATTAACAGTAGATTTTGTCCTTTACCATCTTACCAAAGGAAATTTATCAGTTATCGATGAATGTTGAGGTCCTGAAGATTCCATTTCCAAGATTTTATTGTCCTGTTTTGTTCTGAGGGCACGTAACACATACGGAAAAGAACTACATAACAAAATGGCTGCCATGTTAACGTTTTCTTCTTCTTTGCAAATGAAAACGCACAAACTTGGGCAACTGACTTGAAACATGAAGGCTTAGCGAAGG